GAGAAGGGGTATAAAAATAGTCTGAAACTGGGCACGTTTCCACATGTTTTTATAGAATTTTGGCTTTGAATTGAAAGACACAAGTACTTAATCAGTCAAACGCGTCAATTATTACTTTCCAGAAAGTACGTTGTGCAATTAGCATCTAATGAGGTCTTTAGAGGTTTAATAACAAAAGAAAGAAGGAAAGGTAAAATTATCTTTTATACCATTTCTGTTTCCTTAACGGGTACCCTTCATCTGGTATGTATTTAATATATTATACCACACATTAAAAACGTGAATGTTTTGTAAAATTTCGGATTCAAAGGCATCTTTGCTGAAAATCTGCTAAATAAATTGAAGTTAAGGAGAAAAACCGAATGTATATTACTAATCCTGATTACGTCCAACCCGGTGTCGTCAGTAGCAACATTCAGAGCCTACGTTGAGATGCTTATTGCAGATATCCTGTTGATATATACGTCACAGTTTATTCTATACACGTCACAGTTTATTCTCGAATAGTTGCAATAAAATCAGCAAATAAATCTTGCTTCTTAAAAGTGGTAAAGTAAATGAAAACTTAAGGATTGTAAAACATCCTGTTTTGTTGAAGTAGAAAAGTCCCCCGAAGGGTCAGCCGTAATTTACGGACTCAAAACGCTAAAATGCAGTGTTCGATTCTCCGTGGTGAACACAGCGGATATCTAAATGTGGCTTTGCTTTAAACTAAAGAATAACAGTAATGTAGAAAAAAAAATGAAACACGAAAACTTACCATAGGTTTGGATCACTTTATCTATAAATTCAAAAAGAATCACTATTCAGCAGCTAAATTTGAGAGTGAGTCGCGATTGTGACATCTTAAGAACTTATTATTCAGATATTAACACATTACCGAAGAAAATGTCGTGTATAACTAAGATAAATATACAATTATAGCTGTTAAACTAAAGGGACAGTTTTGTAGATTACGCTTTTGGAATAATATTCCTGAAAGAGTAGTTTGAGATAAAACAAGAATTTGCGTATATATTTCTATGGACATTGTTTATTTTGTTTTGCATTTCGCGCAAAGCTACATGAGGGCTATCTGCGCTAGCCGTCCCTAATTTAGCAGTGTAAGACTAGAGGGAAGGCAGCTAGTCATCACCACCCACCGCCAACTCTTGGGCTACTCTTTTACCAACGAATAGTGGGATTGACTGTCACATTTATAACGCCCCCGCGGCTGAAAGGGCGAGCATGTTTGGTGGGACGGGGATTCGAACTCGCGACCCGTAGATTGCGAGTCGAGCATCCTAACCACCTGGCCATACCGGGCCAACTTTGGACTTTAATATCATAATAAAAAAATGTATAAGCACCATAAAAGAAAGCATAGTGCTTTATCCAAGTATAAAATTACAGAAAGATGTAACACTATGTTTCCTGTAACATACGGGTAAGGAAAGCTGCTGATCTCTCATTGGGTTTATTTATAATATAAATAAGATATAAAAAATGAGAAATAATTCCAGCAGAATAGCCTAAAATCTCCAAAGAAATGTACAATTGTAAGCGAATAAACCCATACCATTTGTTATTTGAACGTAATATATGTATGAAGCGAAATTGGATAGCATTCTTCATTATCGACCTGAGTGAGCTGATGAAAGATGACATAGTTCGAAGTTCCAGTATCAGCTGATCTCAAATATCACAATCATGTACAAACAAGTTTCATACATGTATATGCAATTGGGTGAGAATAGTAATTAATAATAATTGGTGTTAAAATATATAAATGATGTAGTGTTAAAAATCCTAACCCTAATTATGATGCGTTGTGACATAAATATAATGTTTGAAAAACTGTACTTCCGGTTGCATAATCCAGTTCACAGCGTAATAGTAGTCAAGCGGTTCATTAATATAAATTACTAGCTGGGATACTACAGACACGGTAGTGGTTGAGACGTTATTTACTAGCTGGGATACTACAGACACGGTAGTGGTTGAGACGTTACTTACTAGCTAGGATACTACAGACACAATATTGATTGAGACGCTATTTACTAGCTGGGATACTACAGACACGGTAGTGGTTGAGACGTTACGTAACGTCTCAACCACTACCGTGTCTGTAGTATCCCAGCTAGTAAGTTCTTATTAATATGCACAAACATGTTGACTTATTGTTGCGTACATCCTTTCGATGTTGGCTTTTTTTAATATACAGTGACTTCATAGTTAGCTTTAACGAAGCCACGACATACACTCTTAAAGTAAAAACAATTAATACAACTCGCACTAAGGAAGCACAAATGATGGTAGTCATTTCACCAAGCAACTTTTTAATGTTTAATTATTGTATATCCTGTTACTTAACGAGAAAACAGATATCTGAAATTAGCAGCCGTTGATAAAGTTGTCACACCTACGTTTAGTGTGATCCGTTTAGTTGTATTTCACCACTTTATACAATGATGATTGAATAAAAATATGGATAAATCCAGTTAAGGTATAATCTTGCTTATATTTTCAGAGAGAGAAAAATGAGAAAGTCTCTTACTATTATTTACCTTTTTTCAAACTACTAAAGTGATATAGTTACATGAAGAGATTTCGGACAAGCTTTCGTTTCTCATCATAGAGTTTTAAAAACGACATTGTGAAACGTATATAAATAAATACTTAATATAGGGAAAGTCCTGACGTTGTGGTTATCTTATTTTTGTGTCTCTCGCAAACGAGATCGAACCCGCCAACTCTCGCACACCCACTAACTTTTCTACTATCGTAAATAAACACAGGGTTAACGAACTAATTATTCCTAGTAACGCTCTTTTATTAACAACTCACATTTTCACACACAAATCCAGGGTTCTTTGTTCATTTAAGTTTCTAAAAATTAGTCACAATATCCAATACAGCAGCATTTGGTATTTTCAACATAAACAGCATATTTATTCGACACTTCATCCATACGGCCAGATCAGAAATCCTAGCTATACTTAATCTAATAGCTGGACTGACTATCATTTTCAAAATGTCTTCACAGCTAAAAGGGCAGATTGGGTTCAACTATATACTACAGGCTCGAACCTTGGACCTTTGGATAAGCATTTTCTTGTTTTAAAATAGAATTAGTTTGTTAATGCGAGAATGATAATCTAATCAAAATGCACGCATTTTTCCTTTGGCCTTGATTTGGGCAAATTTTGAGAGAGGCTCCATTTTTTTTATGATAATCGGACAGAATACTAAGACTTACAAACAGAAACTAGAAAAAAAAATTGAAAGGATTGTCGGAATGACTGTAAAATTAGACATATTTAACCCTATCACTGTCCTCTGCATCACGTGTGATTCACAGGACATAATGCTAAAGCTTCTGAATATCATATATTATACACAGCTGACGCTCGTGACCGTATCAATAAGAACTAGTTGTTTTGGTTTCACAAGTGAGTCTAGAAGAGAATTTCAGATAAGCATCACATGTGACGCTTAAAGCACATGTGAATGATGATAGATTAAGTTACTTTCACTAAAGAGAAAATGTAGACCTATGATTTTTAGTTGCTAAGCCTTACTCTACTCTCTTTCAACAACACCAGACGGACATGATTCACTCATAACTGTTTGGGTAAGTTAGATACAAGCGTATCTATAAAAACCACTAAATAACCTAACACAGGGGAAAAAGGTTAAAGAGGAGGTATTTTATGTAGTTTTATGACTGAAAAAGTTTTAAAAAGTAGAAAATGGATTTCAGGTTTTAGGTTAGTCATTGTAGTTTGCTATCTCTAACCAAATACGAAACAAAGATGAACCTAAGCCTTCACCATCCTGCGAAGAAAAATTAACTCTTCGTACGTACTAGGGTGTGCTGTTTATGGTCAACATAGTTGTTACTATCGTTTTTATCTTTAATCATAGAATATCGTAATTGATACTTTTATATTTCAAAATGTGTGTATTCTCTAAGTGTTATATTATTTATTATCGTAAAATATCAACACTAATATAAAATGAGCACTGATTTTTCATGTCATCTGAAACAGTTTTATAGATTGCTTAACCCCACTATTTGGCATCAGATGTTAAAATATCTCCATGATTAAATATTTGGATATCACGTTTTTATTACTTACAGCTAATTTCAGGTTTTCGTGAAATTACGTTAGTTATTAAACTTTAACTATTAATAAATCAGATCTTACAGATTTGTGATCTAGAAACTTGATTATCAAGTTTTAACATAACTACGAATTAGCTGATGTTGTCTTTATGTTTGTTGCTTTTGTAAGTGTTTTGTTTTCATTATTGATACACAAATAACAGTAGTAGTTTGATGCTTCTACTATATATCACTAAAAACAGTAGGCTTACTTAGACATATGAACCTAAATATTAAACCCACTGTGTGCGAAATACAATAACAAGTATTGTATATGTCTTAATGTCTAATTCAATTATCAATAGCATAACTTCTGCACCACAAGTGCACCAAAAAACTCTTTATGGCACAGCATCTTTTTTCATTTAATTATTTAGTTTTACAAGCAATAATAGAATATTTAAAAATAAAATTGCACACACCGATCACCAACCAGTAGAAGTGAACAAGGAAATTTCTGGAAAACAACTCTTGTCCTTATGGTAGTTCCTCGGTAAGTTTATGGATCTACAATACTAAAACCCGGGGTTCAATTCCCCAGGGGGAGAGAGTGCACATAGCCCATTGTGTAGCTTTGTACTAAGTAAACAACAATCTTACATATAATATTCCCGTGAGTATTCTACATGACAATGTTTTGGTGCGTTTGAAATACATCGCATGGAAGTAATGTAAAACATCCATTTTTAATATTGTTATTCTCTGTTCCTTGATGCGATAGAACGTAATTTAAATCCCATATTTTTTTTTTCGTGAAAGTTCGCCTTAGTTTATTAAATATTCAAACAAGAAGAAAGTCTGAAAAATGACCACTAACATTTTGATGAAACGGTTTATTTGGACGTACTTTAACATGATCAGGAATAGAATCCTTAACATTTCAAAAACGATCATTTATTTGTTAAAATGTCGTAGTGTCTTTGACAGTTACGATTTTCCCTTCAGTAAATAACTGGATAGCACTCAGATGTTTAACGTTTTTATACTCTTGCTTACACGCTGAAATGTTTAATAAATCTACATTATTGTTACATTTTATATTTAAACATCTTAGCAAATCACAAAACTCCATTTTGTGAAATGATCCTGGATACCGTTGTTTAATAATTTATTTAGTATGAGAATAAATTTAACATTGCATATGATTACATTTTCCTTATAAAGAGTGTAAAATACAAACATTTATTTCAAATAGCATTAGCGCTAATCCAGTTCATGTAAGAAGAAACCCGAGTGTAGACTCCAGGAGTGTTAGGCCTAGCACATTGATAACCAAAAGAAACGACCCCTTCTAATAACCAGCTTCCTGTGTTTTGGTCCTGAAGCATCAAAGGACCTCCTGAGTCACCCTGTTCAGAATACAGAAAGAAAATAGTTAGAAAACCACGTGGCAGCAGGAAACAAGTGAACCACATTCGTTTACTAAACAGAATGTTTACACTTTACTAGTTCTCTCATATAAGGAAATACTTAATATATTATATAATATTTTTTACTATGGAATTTTTGTACGACCACTTCTGAAAAGGAAAACTATATATAAAAAAATCGTAAAGAATAAAACTGTGGGTGAATCTATAAATTAATTCATGTTGAAAATCACCAAAAATATTGCACTCTCACAAAGAAACACGTTTATCCTTATTATATGAAAGGTTTCATTAAGAGCTTTTGTCTGTTCTCTTAAATGTTTGTAGTTTTAATAATAAAAAAATAATGTATCTGATTTTTAAGCGTTTTCAACAAAAGTCAGTGAAAGAAAACTGTAGCGCATAGATTTTAAACTCTGAGAAATTAACTTCAATTTTTGGTATATTTATATGATATTAGAATAATTGTTTTTATCATTAGAGGCTGTTTTTACATGCTTTTCCCCTAAGTTTATTGTTTTATCGCTATAATTATGTTTTTATCCATTTTCAACTTGCACAGAATTACTGGTATCATTTTTGGTGGGGTTATACAGGACACTTTAACACACACACATAAGTCGTATAAAATGGTATATTTTTTGTGTTCAAATGCTTTTGATGACGTATAGGATTACTAAAAATCGTGATATCGTTACAGTTACAAAATATGAAAACCTCACTACAATTCTCCTAGTTAAGGGTTATACTATTTTAATTACTCTTTAATATTCATCACATCCACACTAAAGCTGAGCGAAAGATGTTTGACATAATTATACAAGGCTTTGTGACGGTAAATATTGTAAATTGTTTTACCTGGCAAGCATCCTTTCCTCCTTCCTTATATCCAGCACATATTAACCGATCTGTAATTCCGTAAGGCAAGTTCTGCCTCAATATCTGCTGATAAGCTATATTACAGTCTCTGAAATTCACAATTGGTAACTTGATCTCCTGAAGAATATCACTTGAAGTACCACCTAATAGAAAAACAACATGAAGCCACTTTGTTTTATGTTATCTTCTAATAACGTTAATATTTTAAAACCATTTATGTTCTTATGTTACAAACTCTCAATTCGCTCATTCTCTAGTAAGTTATAAATAGATATTTTAACATGAGAGCAACACAAATGGCTATCATTGGTCTGCCCATTGCTGGTATCGAAACCCGATTTTTAGCATAATAAGTCATCAGATGAGCCACCGGGAGCTAGAATAAAAAGGAGTGGGGGCTGTACAACTTTAAAACAGTCAAAAAACAACGAAAAAATAAATAAAATACACTCATTTCAAGGCAGTTACATTGAAAGAATCAATTCCACTTTAAGTTTAACACTGCCAAGTAAAATACCCGAAACATGCAAGTAAACAGCTTTTCAATTTAAGAAGTGTGGTTATTTTATAATAAATCGTTATTGATAAATATTTGGATTTCATATCATATATAAGTCATGTTACACAATGATGAAAAATAATAAAGAGATTTAAAAGTTTATTTTCATTGTTAACGCAATATATCAAAACGCTTGGTACACTTGTACATTTTGATACGTTATTAGAATAAAGAAACAAACAGTTTGTTGCTTAATTAAAAGAGTTAAAACTGAAAGAACGTAATCCAACTTTATACATTATTAAAATAACTAAGGAAACAAATAGTTTGTTGCTTAAAAGATTTAAAACTGAAAGAATGTAATCCAACTCAGATGGTCAAATGAACTTCATACATTACTAAAATAACTAAAGAAACAAACAGTTTGTTGCTTAATTAAAAGAGTTAAAACTGAAAGAACGTAATTCAACTTTATACATTACTAAAATTCCTAAGGAAACAAATAGTTTTTTGCTTAAAAGATTTAAAACTGAAAGAATGTAATCCAACTCAGATGGTTAAATGAACTTCGTCTACTTATTTAAGAAAGTTTGAAGAAAATTTATGCTTTATTATGAATTTAGGTTTAGTAAATGGGTTTTGTTTCAATACCCAATTCATATTTACTCTCGTCGTAAATTTTGGAAAATAACGACATTGTGAAAAAACTATACTTAGATTTTTCTCCCGTTTTACTAACGTTATTTATATTTTATTTTCCGAACTTAGTTTGACACCCTGGCAATTAAGACCACTTGTAGTTTTTCTTTTTAATATAATTCACATTATAAATGTTCCAAGTAAGTTAATTCCAAATAAAATTAATAAAACAATTTGTACGCCAGAATCTCTATTTTAGTTTGACTGTGATAGCACATTTTGTTGGTTTTCTTAACTTATGTTCTTGTAAATTAAGTTACACGTAACAAATAAGCTTTGAACGGACATTGTTGAACTTATACTTTTATTAGTATTACAGAATTAAAGTATTTGTAAATGTATAACTAGAATTTAAGCTGTTATATTTTATGAGGCTATTTTCAAAATATATATATATACATGTAAAATACTTACCATATGATGTATCGCCCCATCCCACAACAGTTGCAAGTCGCCCTTCAAAATCCTGGTAGGCTAAGCGACCAACAGGGAGACAGATCGGTTTGATAATATCGTTGTAAGTAATATCAACAGATAACTTTAACAACGCAATGTCGTGGTAGGCTACGCTAGACTTATAGCCCTGGTGAACTATCACCTTTGAAACTTGAAAATCTGTACCGGAGTTGAGAAGGTTGTGAGCACCAGCCTTTACAAACAGTTCAGATGGTTTTCTGGGAAATTTTCAAAATAATAATCGTAAGAAATAATTAATTAATTAGGATAGTAGCTGGGCCTAACTTTCATTTATAAATAATTTGCCTATAAATCTTTTATTTCACATCAAAGCTTCGCGTTACTGACCAATATATGGACTTCAGCTGACATCAGAAACTAATAGTGTTCATCAATACACAAACATCATCTGACCTCAGAGACTAAAAGCTCATCTACACTGGATGCAAGCGAATAATTTAGAAGTTTTGATGTCAAGTGGAAATATCCACACCAACATCGAAGAAAACTAACCAATCAAAATAACCCGGACTATAATCCTACTATAATAGATGTAGCGTGTATATATGTATCTATTTATGTATGTGACCGAAATAATATATACATCTATTGAATTGCATCACAAACAAAAATTCATAAAAAAATTCACGCTTTGGATATTCCAGATTCATACAATTAGAAAAATAACTGCGGTATGTGCAAAAACAATTTATTTATAATAGAAAACAAGTTTAAATGAAAAATACTCCTCTCAAAAAGAACACGACTTTCTCTAGGACTGTACGTGGGGGTTTGATTATATCCTTATTGATGTAATTTTTAAATGTAGTACTGAGAAACTGGAGTTCTTAGAAAAACACTATTATTTTTTTTCAATAAACGGTACCACTTTTAATATAGGACAATTTTGAGCTCTGTTCATTGAATCATTTTGATGAAATGAGTTGCGTATGACTAAGGAGCACAATCCGAACAGTTTTCCGTGCAGTACTTCCCAGGAACAAAAAATCTTTTTTTAGAAAATGTTCACTTTTTCTAATTTTATTTTTTCAATGAGGTATGAATATTACGACTAATAATTACTAGCACAAACAGCCATTTCTGTTGGTAATAATAAGTTTTTACCATGTCGTGCTTAACAAGAATAACGTAATAATAATTTTCCCTTTAAAAATTTAATAAACAAAACCGATCATAGAAGGAATTTGTATAGAAATGAAACTGAGGTTGAAGTAAATAATGAAAATATCATTTCAACTATAGTCTACTATTGATGAGGAGGCCACCCAGTGGCACAGCGGAATGTCTTCGGACTTACAACGCTAGAAACCGGGTTTCGAT